TTTCTTAAACATGTCTTTACATAAATAGAGATTTTAATTAAGAATATTGTTTTAATTATAAATACTATTATTTGTATTCAAAATACACTGAATTTTGTTTATTTTTTCACACAAACTCTTCAATTTAATTAACGAAACACTCATTTTGAATATTCCTCCAATACTTGTATTAAACAAATTATATATCAAGTAAAACATAAACCACAAAAACAAATTATTAAATAAAACACTTTCATTTGCACATGCCTATTTCATATAACAAGGAATAATGTTGAATTTAATATATGATTTATTATCTTGATATTAAATAAACACTTGTGTCCAACAACAACATAAATAAAATAACGTTATACAGTAACATTTTTGAAACATGATATAAACAGCATGTTAGAAAATTAATCAAAACCAGTTGTCATATTAAACACTTGTATAAAGTATATAAAGTATTGAATATATTAAATATATATTGAATATAAGTATACAATATAATAACTTTAATTATAACTTATTATACACTAATACATTATAAAATATATATACTTTATATAATAACTAATATTATCAAACAGTGAAATAGTATCAAACTTTAATTAATATTATTGTTTTTAGTCAAAGACATAATGTAATTAACCTTTGGGGACATAAATAAATAGTAAATGGAGACTACAATTAAAATTGATTTAGTTATCAATACTGTACAATTCAAGGTATAATTTGAAATTGCATTTATTAATCTACAAAATGGTGAATTTATTTTGTTTGTAGCTGTTGTGGTTCCGAAGTAATCTTCACCCGAATAGGTCAACCTTCGGAAACGTTTTGGCACTTTGATATTAATGTTATTCAATGGAAATAACAAAATTTTGATAAATAAAAAATTATAAAACAATTTTTATTTTAAACTATTTTTATTTAAAATTTATTTTCTGTATACGATCTAAATAATTGCATACAATTTATGGCCAAATTATCTAATTTTCAATTTCCCGTCGGGTAAAAGTGCCAAAGAGTTTCCGAAGGTTGACCTATTCGGGTGAGGATTTAAGAGGACATATGAAAAGACATCTGAATATAAAAAGCCATAAATGTATTCATAATAACTGTAATCAACGCTTTGTTACGAAACATGAATTGATAGCACATTTAAATTGCAAACATATCGGAGAAAAATTGAAGCAAAATTGTAAACCAATGGTAGGCAACGAATAAGGATTATAAAAGTGTCCTAAAATATATTTTCAGTTCAGAAAAAAAGTTTCAGGTATTGAATGTTATTTTGTTAAATCATTGCTAAAACATTAAATTAAATAAACATTTATATAATAAACATATTAGAGAAACACATAATAAAATTGAAACAAAAATTAATCATTACAACAATACGAGTGCGAAAACTGTGGTAAACTGTTTGACACAACCGCTCAACACAATAGCTATCGGCTCCGACACCACCCGTGCCCTCGGCTTCGGTCGCCGTTTATTTCCTAATCAAAAGCCAACACAATGTCTGCGGACAGGGATGTGATCACACAATCCGTATCGCACTTCTAGCCTCTGTTCAATTAATTAACATTTTTCTTTTTTAAATGAATTTATAAATAATGGTATAGTTTTGTTAATTTTTATAATTATTTTAGTTTAATGTTACGATTCTTATTAATTTGTTTTGTATTTTTATTGAATGTTAAAAACAAATCTAATAATAATTCTACTGTAAATACAAACATGTTTTATAAGGGAAACAACAATATTATTAATTACGTTAAAAAATCTTAATAATCCAATAAAAAGTTGGTCTAAAAATCAGTAAATGTCTCATTTAGTGAATATTCTCATGGTATTTATAAATAATAATAATAATATAGTAATAAGTAAGTTCTTAACTTATGTCATAAAAAGCCAATTAAATAGTGAATAAAATGATAGATTTATAACAATAAATAATACAACACAAACTCTATATCAAAATTCTAATAGTATTTATAATTAAAACAATATTCTTAATTAAAATCTCTATTTATGTAAAGACATGTTATAAGAAAATCAAATAAAAAAATGGATAAAATGATAGATTTACGACATTAAGTAATACAATACAAAATCTATATTTAAATTGTTGTCTTATTTGCAAAGTGTGCCAACACTGGCCACGGATTTGCTGTCATCAGAAATATTGTTAATTATGGTATTAAAAAGTCAGTGAATAACTATAAATATTTGAGCGACAATTATAATGATATTCATAATTAAAATAATAATTAAAACTCGACTTATGTTACGATATGTTATAAAAATAACAATGCAAATAATGATAAAATGACAATTTTAGACAAATTATAAGATAATACAAAAATCAATGTCTAAATTGAAATCTTATTTTAAATGTTAGCCAAAAATAACTATGGATTCGCTGTCATCCGAGTCTTCGGCTAATTGTCTGACGCCTTGGAGTGCTGTCAACGATAACTCATTCTCTATAACCAAAGCTTCCAATAAAGTGTATGTCATTTGGTATTGAGTTTTGATTTGATTCTCGATTTTCTTAAACATATCCCTAATATTGATCTCATCTCTGGTTTTGTCTGAATTAGTGGTCATTTCATTGTGAGATCCGATCGATGAAGAACTGAATGACGAATCACTCATTGAACCCCTATTTAAATGTGAAATTTAAATAAATTTTATATTTTATGAAAGTTTACAATTAGACAAAAACCTTATATTCTGTTCATTTATTTCTTGAGCCAATTGTTTGACATCGGATTTAATGATGTGTTTCAATGGTTTCAATACTGACAACCAATCACTCAAACCTCTAATTTTTGGCCACAAAATATAAACAGCGCATAACAAACATATAATAATTAACTTTATAGTAATTATGCGTAAATCTGTGGCCACTGTTTGACAACTGAAAATACAAAAATTAATTTTATTTTATAAAATGTATTTCAATATTAATTAAAACTTTAATCTAATATTTATTTAATGTGTTTATTTTAAACCTGTTATCAAAGATCAAAAACTTTTCTCTCAATTCATTGATTTCTTCAGTCATTGTCTCCATTGAATCGATGGCTGACTTGAGCTGTGCTTTCAATGCCATCACTTCGTATCCATTGCTTGCGTTCAGAGCTCTTAACTCTTCAGTTAAACAACTTTTTTCGGCCCACAATTCACTAAACGGTGCGACCATTTCTGGATCACTAAAACAATAAAGAAATTGTAGTTTAAAATAAAGCAAACTTTTTATAAAACATAACTTTTAAGTAATAATTATAACAAACCTCATATTAAAAGACACTTTTTGTTCTAAAGTCGACAACTTTTCACTCAAACCATTGACTTTTGCGGACACAATACAAACACCCGATACTAAACATATGATAAATAGCGCTGTAGTAATCCATTTAAAACAATTGCTGTAAAAATATTAGTTTTATGTAAAAAAGTTTAACTAAAATCAAACATTTGTTTATAAACTATATGTAATTTATATCAAACCAAAAGTTTTGTCTCAAATCCTTGATCTGTTAATATTATAATATAAAAACATACCTGGTTAATTGTGATGACAGAATTGCGTGATGAGGTTTTGTTTGAATTAATATATAGCGTTCACTATTTTCCAATTTGTGATCATCATAGTAAAATTGATAATAATGCCACCCGGTACTATAACGGGCAGTAGTGGCAATAGTAATATTTTGGTTGTTTTCATTGTATAGACAGTTAGATTGTAGAAAACACTTGAGATCTTTCATAGTCTTAACACTATGTGGTATAGAGACCCGAATAACATTATCGCCATCATTATAGCGTATATAATAATCAATCATTATATACTAGTGAGCGTTTAATTATGGTTAAAATAATTGTATTTATTAATAATAACTTATTATTAATAACTGATATATGGATGACTGTCGCACTGTGTATGCGATCTGATCTCACAATCAGTAGTACAATGAGTGATGTCTTGTGATTTTGTGCAAAACAAATGTTAAAACTTGTGATATTTATCCCTAAGGGATACTCCTTTCACACATCTCTATACTTTGAATATCCCTCTCCTAATACCTCTCTTTGATAAGTGAATTGTGGGTTTAGTAACTTAACTGATGGTCAGTTCGGAATTAGGTTTGCATGTAAGTCAGTGGTTATTGTTCGGCCCGTTGTGTCCACCACTGGCCCAGTGCTCGCACTTTACCACCGATCAGAACATCAAAATCTACTCAACGTTTAAATAAAACACAAGTTTATATACAGTACTTATATTTATAATGAAATTTGTTTTATTTTTATTTATAATAAATATTTCGATAAATATTTTTAAAATTTTGAGAGAGAGAGAGAGAGAGAGAGAGAGAGAGAGAGTTTGGAATGATATTATGAAATAACAATTTCATTTTATTAATGTTAATACTGTCACAGATTTGTATTAATTTAGTACAAGTGGTTCTTTTAATTACATAATTTTAATGTAAATGTGTTTTAATTGAGTTATCAATACATTTATAGCTCTTTATTTGTATGCCTTTTCATGTGTTGATTAAGATTTGATTTATCAGAAAATGTTTTATTACAGTCAATGAAATGACAGATATATGGTTTTTCTCCCGAATGTATGCGTTTGTGTCGAATTAGATTTGATTTCACGCCAAAACTTTTGCCACAATTTTCTTCATTACATTTAAATTTCCTTTCATTCAAATGAACACAACTTTTATGAAGTAATAAATATTCTTTTGTTGTAAAGCTTTTGTGGCATTCATTGAAATCACAAATAAATCTCACTTTTAAATGAACACTATTTTTATGTTGAATTAATTTATCTGTTTTAAAAAATATTTTATTACAATTATTAAAATTACATTTAAATTGTTTTATTTTTGAATGAATCAATTGATGTGAAGTTAAAAGTTGTTTATTATTTGTCTCGTAACGACATTTAGGCCAAAAACAGTTTAAAATTTTATTTGACTTCAAATGAACAGAATTTTTATGAGAATCTAAACAGAGCTTTGATGTAAAACTTTTGTGACATTCATTGAAATCGCAAACAAATCTCACATTTAAATGATCTCTCTTTTTATGATCATTTAAATTTGATTTTCTTTTATAACTTTTATTACAATTATTAAAATTACATTTAAATTGTTTTATTGATGAATGGATTAATTGATGTCGAGTTAACTGTCGTTTAACTTTTGTCTTGAATTGACATTTAGGCCAAAAACAGTGCAAATAATCGTCAGATTTAGTAATGATATGACAATTTTAGACAAAT